TAAGGAATTGGCTCACAGGGAGAATGATTTCTATATTCATCAGTGAGCATTTGTGTGAGGATAATGGGATAAGACAGTAATTCACAAAAGAAACTGATGTGACCTATGGAATGGGTTACGATAAAGAAGAAAAGGATACATATTTTCAGGTCCAGCCTTACTCAGAGAAATCTAAAAAGTACAATTTAAGGACAGAGCTAAAGATGGAGCTTGTCAATTTTAACATGGAAAAACTACAACCAGAGTAGTGCGACACACAGATGAGCCACTGTAAACTTTTATTTTTAAACTTCCTTACTCTTAGCCATTCCAGACCATAGCTATAAAACAAATCTAAGTAAAGGACAACTTCATTTAAAAAAGAAAAGTCACAAACTTGAATAAGTAATTAGAAAGCAGCAATGTTAGAGTCAAGAAATGAACAACTTGATTTCTGCCCACCAGTATGGTACATATGTTTGATATTTTGCCTCAAGAAGATAAAGTCAAACTTTGTAACAAATAGCAAATATACAGAAATTTACCACTATTTCCCTCTTTAATTATTAACATTGAGACTCAATGCAGGAAAATGAGGGTAGGAAATGAAAAGCGGAAAAAAGACTTTTGAAGGAATTATTCAGAAAACAAAGAATCAGCAACTGTCACTCACTAAATCACCCCCTCAAGTTTCCCTCCCATCTCTGTCCCTTCTCTTCCTACCACATTTCTTAAGAGAGTTTTTGTATCAGCTTTCACATCCTTATGACAAAGTCTCTTTTTGCTGGCATGTAAACTAGCTTAGGACTCTATTCAAACTTTTGGGCGGGATGGCCTGTATTTGAAGGTATCAATCTCTCCTTTGCATGCCAACTTCACAGCTGGGTAGAAAATAGCAGACACAAAGAATCTGAGAGGTTAAGAGGGTGCCATAGAGACATTGACAATAATAACCTTCCCAGACATTAATGTTGTTCATGGTTTGCTGAAAAAGAGACATTTCGGGGGTGAGACACTGTAGTGACACAGGAGCCAGCTCAGAACTAGCCTGGTGTGATCATTCTTCAAGGTCAGCAGGTGAGGTGAATTATGTGAACCTTACTCTCTGTCACAGGAAACAAATTTTAGGCCAAACTCAAAGGGTGGTGACTTCTGCCCAGGTTCTAGTTTCATGTTTTCAAGCTATAAAAAGAGATTTTTAATTCTAAAACTAGGTTGTCGTTTTTGTAAAGAACACTTAAGCAATGAATAACCTATGAAACAATAATTTGTGATAATTTATAGCAAAGTGCCCCCAGCTACTGGTCACATGGATCTGTAGACTTGAATAAGTTTGAGTAAAGCAGCCATAATCGAGTTAGAATTCATCGAGTGGAACTGAACCACCTCATTGGGCTAGACAATCCCTGCCCTGTTAAGAAACTCAGGATTATATTAGGTATATCGTCGATACCTGCAAATGTGCTGTCACCATGTTCCTGAAAGTATTTGGTGGCAATGAAGACTCTGAAACAGTTATAGGACAAAATACAGAGTTCTGCCCAACCTGGAAGCTGTAACTTGTTGGTAGGAAAGGCTGGCCTGGCTAAAACAGGTCTGAGTTCTTTAACCCTGACAGTATCCTCAGGTTGGCTCCTCCCAAACAGGGGATTCTATCCTCAACCTTTAATTTTTATAAATCTGCTCCTTATATTAAAATCTCAAATGCTTAACCATTTGAAATTCCAATCCACAAGTGTGAATTGGAAAAACATGAGAAGGACCAACAGTATGTTTGAGGAGCTAAGAAACAGTATGTGAGAAGACAGAAGGGATAAAAGAAGGAAAGTGAAGTCAAGGGTCACACTGGGCCATGATTTAAACACTCTAAATTGAACTCAATTAGCTTTTTCTCCATGACCCTATGTCATTTGAAAATTACTTATTTTGCAGAGCACTCTTGACTTCTGACACTTCTGTAGAAAGTGCTTCATACATTAACAGTATACTTAAAATAATGTGTCAAAAGAAATCCTTTGAGAGGTTACAATTAAATTTAGACTTATAATTTAAAGCTTTCATTAGAATATATACACGTGACTATGAGACAGAAACTAGAAAACATGCAGGAATGGGCTGCTTCAGCTGAGCCGCACCAAGCCAGGCAGATTATAATTTGCTCTTAGAAACAAAAGGAAATTCTATTCCTAAGTCACTGTGCTCTGCCTAGTATAACATACCCTGAGCCCTGCTGGAGAAGGTGACATTTCGCTATTTTCATTCTTTTTTTGTTTTAGAGTTTCTGATAAGACCTATTATACAGACATAAGTGACAGCGCAGAGAGAGTGGAGGGGACGGTGAGAAAAGGGAAGAGACTACTTGGAAATAGATATAAACAAGGAGACACTGGGAAAACAGAAGTGCAGACCCAAGCAGGTACTATGATTCTGAGTTGTATAACTGTATAAATGTACCCACAATCATTTCCTCTAGAAATTACGTTTCAGAAAAATTCTACACAATTCCTATAACCTGGAGTAGCTAAATAAGTACCTACTATGAGGTAGAAAGAAAAATAATGAATGT